GCCAGTCAACACAGTGCAGCAGAATCCCATGAAGTCAATACAAAAACTCTGCAAATGGAGAGAGAACACCTGCAGTCAGCCTCCATGTCAGACTCACATCGGCGCTGACGGGGTTGGATCAACGTTGACCAATCAGAACTCAAGCTGTGAACGTGGTTATATGAGTCACAGTTTAGATTTCTTTCATTCAGCATCTAGAAATAAAATCTGTTTTGCTGACATCATCAGGCTGAACTTGCTTCAATTTCAATAAAAGAGTTTATATTTCAAACTGCGATTGTAAAATGTTGATTTGAATTTTTTTCTTCAACATGAAAATCATGCCTACAGTAAGTACACACATTCCTTAGGATGTTTTTCTTTCCTCATCCTACCATTATTTATTGACTACACCAGAAATGACCTGCAGGAGGCGCCATATGACCACTTTTGTTATCATCTATGCTGAACGTTACATCGATACTCCCATCTTTACAAACCCTACAATAGAGACTTAAACCGGTTTTGCTCAGCAGAACATGGAAGTGATCATGAGGCAGGAACTTGTGCTATTAGGAAACTTTTTTCTGTGGATCTCAGGTAACTTTCAATCAACTAGTTTCTATTTTTATTAGTATACTTACTATAAACCCAAATCAAAGCTGAATATTCCCATTAAATGCTAAAGTGATCGTCCTGAACCTTTTCTTCTGACATTCAGGTGTGACTGCTGGCAGTGATGTCGACCAGCCGGCCATGCTGTGGAGAAACCAGGGTGACAACGCAACTATCAGCTGCAAACACTCCAAGGGTTCGAGCTACTACCAGATGTACTGGTACCGACAGCTGCCTGGGGAAATGATGAAACAAATAGTTTACACTATTGCAAGCTCCAAGCCTGACTTCGAGGCTGAATTCAAACTAGATGAAAAGTTCTCAGTCACAAAGCCTGATGCTATGAGTGGGACGTTCACCGTGCATAAACTGGTGCCAGGAGATCAAGGCCAGTATTTCTGTGCTGTAAGTGAGCACAGTGATATAAAAAAGCTGAGAAGCTGAACAAAAACCTGTGAGCTGTTGGCACACGGATCACATTTTATCTTGTGTATCATAGAGGGAGGATGACAGATACCACAAATATTCAACTCCTGTTTTATTCATCACTTTGAAGCCCATGTGTAACCGTTTATCCCCTCCTGCAGGTGGGGAATACATGTCTGTTGTTTCAAAACACAAACATTGCAAAATATGGTTGAATGTAACTTCTTGATATTTTGATAACCAGGGGTCTGCAACCCTTATTTTTCCAAAGATTTTTCAATTATAAGCCCTTAGTCCAGCTAAATAAAAGTTATTTAGAGCCACAAATATTACATGGTCTTTTGTAATAAGATGATTTTTTAAAATAATTTTTGGTCTACTTCAGGAAATTGGTTATTTTTAATAGAACAATACTTTCATTTTTCTATTTTTAAGTTTTAAGAAAATACAGGATTTTTAAAACCAAGACCTGAATATAATCTAAGTTAAAGCTGGATTTATGTAACTTTTCCAAAAATGTTTTTTTTTTTCATATATTAGTCAAAACTATAACCATGTATAAAATGAAACAGATAATCTGTGAAAAGATCGATCTCCACCTCTTCCCAGTGTAGAAATGCACTTCTCGCTGTCAGAAACAACCAATCAGAGCAAGGAGGCGGGTCTTAGCACTATCAATCAGCCTAGCATTAGCATTATGTGCTAATGGTGGAGAAACATCTTACCGTTTCAGGAAAACACTTCATCCGCTGTCATTGGTGGCTATGCTACCTAGCCGTAGCATTCATAGCAGGCTCTGTCGTGTCGAAGCAGCTGTAGCGTAGCAGAGAGCAAAGGGACAAGTTGATTGGCATCGCTAAGACCCTCCTCCTGGCTCTGATTGGTTGTTTCTGACTGAGCTGTGTGTTTGTTCAGATGACAGTAGGACAAGGATTTTTTCAAAGATTGTCTGTCTCATGTTATATCACACTACATGGTGACAGTTTTAACAAATATGTAAAAAATAACATGTTATAAAAGTTACATTTTGCAGCTTTGAAACAAAGATTTTGAATTATTCATCTGTCATTTTAACTACTTCCATCAGATGGCAGCATTTCCTCAGGCAGACGTTTTCACTGAACCGGTTCTGTAAGGTTCTGGTCGAAAGAATGTGGGTCATAACTTAAGAGGAGGAGAATCAGTTGTGACACCACCCTGTAACAATAACTTGAGGAGGATGCAAGCCAAATCATCAAAATTGATGCAATGAAGGAACTGTGAATTGCATCTTTAACACTGTTATTGGACAGAATTTAACAAAATGTTCAGAGAACAGATAATGCTCAGCTTCTTTATTTGGTTCAGCTGTATCACTTTCCTGGTTTCAGGTAAGTCCTTAAGATCATTCGGTTCATCATCCCGTTTAGAAAATGATAAAAAAAGAACTTCAAAAATAAACTCAAATTTCTTATATTAACTCTTTATGCCACTGCTAACAATACTGTCCTTTTTCATTCCTCAGGTTCCTCCCTAAGCGACAAAGTCCGACAGAACCCAGCAGAACTCTTCAAATCCTCCACTGACACAACAGCTGAGATCAGCTGTTCACACAGTATTGACAGCTACAACCGAATCCTCTGGTACAAGCAAACTGACAGAGACCTGCAGCTCCTGGGGTTGATGGTAATAGGTGGTGAAACTCTAGAGAAAGGAGTAAAGGCAAAGATTACAGGGAACGCTAACAAAGACAACGTCTGCACATTGACAATTACAGAACTGAACCGGAACAGCAGCGCAGTTTACTTCTGTGCTGCTAGTCTGCACAGTGCTGGATCAATCTGATTCTCAATACAAAAACCTCCTGAGCCAGCAGTCTTCAAAATCTGTATTAGAGTTCATATCGTCTGGCACCTGCATTCTCACCGATGTTGGCATTTTCTCTGATCTAATCTAGGACTGAAGTGGGAGGGGTTTTTATTGCAGTGTAACGACATTAACCTAACTATTTTACTCCTTGAATTGCTGGAAGCCACAGAATTAAATTTTGAGCATTATTGCTCTATGGCAGCATATATCATTTTTAGATTAATTCTTAGTTGTGGTTATAAGGTTCAAGAGTCAAAATATTTAAATACATTTGTAATTATTTAGAAATCCACTGATTGGAGTTCAAAATTTGACTCAGTACTTCACTCTATGCAGATGATACTTCCATTTCTTTAAATTGTCCATAAGCTTAAACATATAAGACAAGCTGTTGTGTTAAACTCTGGGCTTTCTTCTCACAGATTATTACCAAGATGCATCTCAGAAACATAAAACAGCTGGTGTTCTCCAACCCCGTCTGCAGAAATAAAATACAGCCACAGCAGAGTGAGGTCACAACCAAACATACAAAGACAGAGAGCTTTAAAAAACATGTACGTCATTATTTACACTGACTGATGGGCAGAGGGAACAAGAATTGACTGTTCATCTGATAATATAGTATGTTATACTCTCTTTAAGAGTTTCAGTAGATGGCGCTAGAGCCATAAAAGGACTCATCAGCATAATGTTGAAATCCTGCAGTGATCCCTCCCATTGTTCCTTCATTCAAACGCCGCCGCATTCTTCTTCACTGCTGCTGAACAAACAGAAGCTGAAATGAGAGCTGCCTTCTTTAACACGGTTTTTATTATCTGCTTCCTTGTTTCCTTTCGATTGCCAGTAAATAATGGTAAGAGGACCATTATTCTAATACACACATTAGAAAAGGTTCAAAGATGATCCATTTTTAATTATTTTCTGCTTCTCTACAGGAGCCTCTGACTCCAAAGACGTCGACCAAA